ACGAAACGATGGCCAGAGATAAGGAGCGCATCGGTTATGAGCTGAAGATCGCTAAACAGAAGATTGATTTCCTCGAAAAGGAGAGTTTGGACGCAATCGAGAGAATGAAACTCTCGTTTGAATCGGAGATTAATTTAATTAAACGCGAAAAAGAAGAGCTGAGAAACAAATTGTTGGAAACAAACCAATTGCCAGATGTTATGAAGTTTACGGATTTGACTCATGAGAACCAGAGATTGACGGCGAGAGTGAAGTCCTATCAGTCGACACTCGAAGACGCGGAACAACAGTATAAGAGAATTGAGTCGAAAGTGGAATCACTGGTCGCCGAACACGAGAACAGCCAACGAGAGGCCGAGAGACAGATCTCTGCACTCAATGTACAGCTCAAGAGTTTTAGCGATAAAAATATGGACTTAAGACAAACGATTGCCGGCAATGAAAGAGAAAAACTGGATCTAATGGCAGATATGGAGAGATTGAAGAATGAAATGAATCGATTAAATAAATCCATAGAAGATAATGATAAACATTTTGATGTAGAAAAGGATAAGATTAAGAATTCTTATAATAAAAGTATCAAAGATATTGACGAACAAAAGGATGTGATGTCCAGTCAATTGAGGAGTAAGTCATTCATTGAATCTTCTGTTATGTTATTTAATTAATAAATTATTAATTTTAGTTATGAAACTGGAAATTGAGACTAAAAACGACACAATAAAGCGATTAGAACTGGAAAACAGCGCCAAAGATAAAGAATTTCAATTAAAAATGACTGAAATAAGACAACAAGAGTTCGACAAACGATCGGCCGTTGAACACGAAAAGTGAGATCAATTTAATTACAATAATTTATTTTTAATAATAATTTTTATGATTAGGAATTCAATTCAATCCAAACTCAAGGATTTAAAAGAAGAAAAGTCTAAACTAAAGGAAGAGATCCAACAAATGAGACGTCAAATCGAGAATATGTCTGAATTGAGATTAAGTGTCGAAAGAGATTCAATGATTTTAAGGGCAAAAGTAGAGTCAAATCAAATTAGTATTGTAGAGTTGGACAAACTTCGCAAACAACACAACCATTTGCACGACTCTCTCAATAAACTGAAGAGTGAGAACACAGAGTACGCGGCGCTCAACAAAGAGCTCGTCCGACAGCGCGAGCACTACAAGAATGACTTCCAGAGGATTAAAGACACGTTAGATGAAGAGCGCAAACAATTGGATGAGTTTAAGGTATTGAGCGATAAGAATGTCCTAAAGTTGAGGAATTGTATCGACGAAGAGAGGACTGACTTCAGAGATAAGTTATTGAGTCTCGAAAGGGATGTCATTAAATGCAAGAAAGAAAGGGACGAATTGAGGACTAAATATAATAAATATGTGACAATTGCCGAGAAATTGCAGACAAAACTCATGGAAAGCAAAGACAAGCAAAAGCCCGAACCGAGTCATTACAGGTCTAGTCATGGGATGGCGCCCACCGTTTCGGCCGACGCTCACAATCAGCTCAAGAAAGAGCTTAAAATCATGAAACGAAGACAAAACGAAATCGCGTCCCAACTGTTGAACTGCTCTTTTGATTCGACGCACTGTAAGGAACTCGACGCCAAACCCGATCATTCATAATTTTAAGCTCTTTCTTGAGCTGATTGTGAGCGTCGGCCGAAACGGTGGGCGCCATCCCATGACTAGACCTGTAATGACTCGGT